ATCACTGATCCGTCAAGACCCTTTTAACGATCACCTTGGGACAGAGCCTGCGACACCGCTCAGGCCTTCTGCGCTCTACGTTGGCAGTTACGGACGACCAGTATATAGTTGGCGCCCTAGCAGGCGGACCCTTAGAGTTTCTTCTCTTTGGATCCTCCTCTGCTAGGTCAGTCCCTCCGTGTATTTCCATAGCTTTTATTCACGCTTTGGATCCTCCCCTGCTAGGCTTTCGTCGGAGTCTCCAGGGTTGCCCTTACAGCAGAAGAAACTCTCTACGGGATTAACCGGTCAAGATTGCCAGGTTTGGCGCTGATTCAGGCTCGGCGTACGAGTCCGTACCCCCCTCGTCACCACCCCTGCCACTTGACCCCTCCTCCTCTGCTCTTGTTGTCTTTACGCCCGCTATGTCTACCGGAGCTGCTCCGGACGCTGACGCGCGCATGGATGCACTTGAGGCGAAACTAGATAACCTCACCAATATCCTCACCCACCTTGCTTCCCAGGCTTCCGCTGCCGCACCACCTTCGGCAGCTCCTGCTGTTTTAGTATTTATATCTCTGTCCTGTATTTGATCGATTCACGGATGGCCCCGCGTTACTAGTGCATCTGGGATCTAGCTTGCCAATATCATCCTGCTAGCTCTTTCATTCAAGTAAAAGGTGTTGTGATTGAAGAGTTGAGGGTTCCGGTTGCCGTATAAAAGGCGTAGACAATTTGTGACATTCTCTGATCATTCTGCTGTTCAACTGCGAAAATTTCCTTTTTGGGAACTATGTCACACTTGTGACCCCATATCACATTATATAACAGAGTGTATGGACTTGGTAGGATATGTGGAAACTATAGGTGATAGATTATCATCAAGTTGCTAGCCTTCAGTGTGACATTTATGTCACACTGACCTTGTGCAATAGGACAAGAAATGACTTAGAGCCTGGGGCCTCAGAAATATTGCAATTTTATTGCCCCCTTTATTGCAGCATAGGGAGTTTTGAGACATCTCTTCTAATTAGAATGGGCACCCAAGCGCGTTGTCCATTCTAATTAGAAGGGATAATTGGGATTAACAGGTGCCTAGCAGGCGGACCCTCAGAGTTTCTTCTCTTTGGATCCTCCCCTGCTAGGACCTTGATCTCAGGCCTCCGGGGCTGCCCTTACAGATAGAAAATAAATTTATGGGGAAAAACAGCTTCCCAGATTGTAGCAAAAAAAGCTGGCCTGTAAGGTGAAAAATGGAACTTTTTTGGCCACAAGGAGCCTTTTTGTATTATTGTAAGGGCAACCCCGGAGGCCTGAGATCAAGGTCATAGCAGGGGAGGATCCAAAGCGTGAACATTGGTAAGCGAATACAAATGAAGCTGACCTAGCAGGGGAGGATCCAAAGAGAAGAAACTCTATGTAAGGGTCCGCCTGCTAGGGAGCTGACTATATACTGCTTGTCCGTAGCTGCCGCTGTCGGGCACAGAAGGCTTGAGCGGCGTCGCAGGCGAGGTCCCAGGGCGACCGTCGGGGAGGGCGTTGACGGATCGGTGATTGTGCGGGCGAGATGGAGGGCCGGACCGGAGTCGGAACCGGAATCGGACGCGTCTCCGGGCCGAAAGGGAGGTTCCCCTGACAATTATAATATTCATTGCTTTTTTTTCTGACAAGATTGCTATTCTATTCCTTGGGTCTTTTTGAATCTTTTTCCCGAGAAAATAAAGGTGTCCCTTTTTTTGGCTAATTATTACCCTCATTAAAAAATTTAAAAATCCCCCAGTTTTCTTCTAAATCCTCGGGGTGAATTGAACATTTTGGCCAATCGGTCATGGGTCACAGGCCCGCTGAATTGATCGAAATGGGTCAGTGTCATTACAATTTTCAGTTGTGTACTTGGAACCTTGTTTAAGTTGTTTTCAGCTTGAACTGAAATTTTTGCTGAAATCACTGATTTTAGCATGAGAATCAACATCACCAAAAGTACCAATTTCAGAAGATACAGAAATTGAGCTAAAGATAGTGTGTTCAGCATCACTTTTGCTATATCCTGAAGGCTGTGTTTTAAACCTGCTGAAACTATTGCTGAAATCACCGCTTTCAGTCCAAATCGAACTACTTGATCATATTGATTTCAGTTTCAATTTCAGAACTATCTGAAACTACAATAAAAAGCATCATTTCCAGCCACACTCAGGCTTTACAATCAACAAAAGTGACACCCTCGAACTCCAGAGCGAGCATTCCACTCTCATGGAGTGCGTGCAACCCGGTGGGGCCACGCAGTACACAAGCAATATCAGAGGCCTTCACGAGCTCGTAGCGTTTTGGAAGGTCATCCTCGTCGTCAATGGTCCTGATGCATATATTCAGCTTGGAGAGTAGCGTAATGTGGTAGACGGCCAGCTCTGCCAGCTCAGTGGGTATTGGCTGCAAGTTACTGTTATATCTGGGCGCTGTATCAGATGGACCACCATTGAGAGCCTCGTTTGTAAATCAGGTCAACTCCTCTGCTGGGGGGCAGAGCGTCAGCTCCGTGATACGATTGTTCCGTGGGAGGGACTCTAGTAGGAGACGTAGGCCAACCGCCCACTTGCAGTTCAAATTTGTGAGCCGGGGAAAGGCAAACAAAGGGATGTTTCTGTAGAACTGCGCAGACAAATCCGGCGGGCCTTGTGGTGCTAAAATAGTTGGCGTCAGTGAATTCATGTCGTTGGTGTTGGTGTGGTACGACACACCATTGGGAGCGTGCGACTGCAAGTAAAAGGTCGGACCGAAGCAGCTGAGCGTTAGACGCTCGATAGTCCGCCCGTCTTGTTCACAAAATGGCGTGAAGTTATTACTTGAGAGGACATCGCCGCGGTAGGTCACCTCGCGAAGCTCGGACAGGTCCAGTCCGTGACCGCCAGGAGTAAGAAGGAGGTCAAACATCTCACTTCCGAGTGCGTTGAGAGTGAGAGCTGAAGGTTTTGGCTGGACCGGCGCCCCAGATTCGCCTTCCTGTGCTCGCAAGGTCGCGAGGAGGTCGTCGTCGGAGTCAGTTGTAGGGCGGAGGACCAGGTGTGTCAGAGTGATCTCGTGGATTGACGACGGAAGGCGGCCGAGAAGCAGGGCAATGTTATGAGCACTCCAGGGGTTCCTGGCTCCAGCGGCCAGAAGGCGATGCAGGTGAATGTCGCGGTACCGCTCGCTCCGGAAGACCACCAGACGTAGGGTCTGAGTTGCGAGAAGAGCACGAAGACTCTGAAGCGTGACGAGTGTGGGCTGCATTCCGGATATGCTAGCGGGTGGTTCAGCTCTCGCGCGATAGTTATGTCGAGCGCAAGAAGGGAGGTCCACGGTAGGGAGCAGAATGTAGGTAGAAGGTTTTCTGGACATGATACAAGGCTGAGCTTTTGCACGTATTGTACGAGATGAGAGGAGCGACTGTCCTGGAGCGAGCGCAAGCACAGCTCGCCCGTAGGTTGCCCAAAGTCGATGGTTACCGATTTGAAGATGAACGACTGTGCGTGGGGAGTAAAGACCCTGGCGACTGACGCGCAGGCACGGAGAGTTGCCATGTCGTCGTCGAGCTCGTCGATGAACCGTTCATACAGCTCCTGTGGAAAAGTTGTGGATCCGGACATGGTAGCCGGAAGGAAAAGAAGAATGATTGCCGTTCGGCAATCTGGACCGACGTGACCGATGTCATATTTGTCAGCTCACGCAATTTTCTTCGACCTTTCCTCATGCGCTCAGATGGTTGACTGCGACAGTCGCGCGCCGGTGAACCAAGAGGCTGTGGCATTCGCTCTGGCAACATCTGCCTCCCACAAGCGCACACCTCTGCCTAAGCTTCAGCTTTTCATCCTTATCGTCATCCAGTTTTCGGAGCCTGTGACGGGTACGCTCTGGCTTTCTGCCTCGCTGACGGCTTGTTGACCAAGAACCTGCTGTAGCTCTCGTCATCTATCCGTTCATCGTCCAGCTCGTGGCGCGACACTGGTATCACTGGCACAGACGAGTCCAAGATGGGGCATTTCGCAGGAATCATCGTGTGTCGCTTATTTGTGTCTTTCTTCCCTATTAATATTAGATGCAACACTCTAGGAATCGGTCTTCTTCCTTGCGGAATGTCTGACGGTGGTCCACTTCGGTCGTGCCTCTGATAGATATGGGCGGCGCCCCGTCCTGCTACTCGGCCCAATCGGTCTCGCCATCGCCATGCTGGGATTTGGATTCTCGAAGTGGTTTTGGTCTGTTGTCGCCTTCCGGTGCCTACAAGGCGCGTTCAATGGGAACATCGGTAAGCCCACTTGCCTCCTTAGCTGTGCGTAATTAACGCCTTCACGGTAGGTGTATCGAAAAGTGTTATGGCAGAGGTGCATCCAATGTTTTACATGTTGTGCCTCGCCTGAATCTCATTTCAAGATTTCGGACTCAACGAACATCGCAGAGATATACTCCTTTTTGCCATTCATGTGGACAGTTGGAGCTACCCTCGGGTCGTGTGCCTCTTGTCATTATTTTGTCGTACTTACTCTGAGCACAGCCCATTCATTGGCGGTGTAAGGGCAACCCTGGAGACTCCGACGAAAGCCTAGCAGGGGAGGATCCAAAGCGTGAATAAGACTACAGGAAATACACGGAGGGACCGACCTAGCAGGGGAGGATCCAAAGAGAAGAAACTCTAAGGGTCCGCCTGCTAGGGCGCCAACTATATACTGGTCGTCCGTAACTGCCGACGTAGAGCGCAGAAGGCCTGAGCGGCGTTGCAGGCTCTGTCCCAAGGTGATCGTTGGGAGGGTCTTGACGGATCGGTGATTGTGCGGGCGAAGGAGGCCGTGGACGATGGTCGGGGTGGGTCGGAGCGTCCGAGGGGGCGCCGGTCGGATGCGCCTCGGATGCGTTCGGAGGGTCCGAAGGAGGCCGAAGCGGGGGTTCCCCTGACAGGCGGAACCTTTGCCAATCCTGCTGAAAGATACCCCGATACACTGGGGCGTCTCGGGCTTCTCCGGGAATACCCATATCTCCTTCCATGTGCCATGGCCGGCTCCCTCGCCCTTCTTGCCTCCATCGTCGGGCTTCTCGGGCTTAAAGAGGTGTGCTCCGTACCAACGATCTCCCTCATCCGATAGAATCATTTCAGACTCTGCCATCCGCAGTTCGGCGAAATACTAGTAAAACTCACGCGGCCGACCAAGGCACTGAAACCGAGCCTCTGCTCTCCGAATCGACGTCTGTCGGGGCTATTGAAAGTGCAGAGATACCTCCTCTTCATGCGCTTTTTGTGCGTCCGGTCCTAATCTCGTTGACGACACACGGCTTCCTCTGCTTCTGCCAAATGTCATATGAGGTGCTCTTTCTCTGTGCGCTCATCCAACCTGATGCTTATCAAGCCTAGGTCCTTGTCCCACTTGTTTATGCAACGCCCATTGCGAATGGTGGCCTAGGCTTGAGCCCACTCTACATCGGTCGGATCTACGGGGCTGTTGGACTTGTGAACACCTTCACACAAATCTTCCTTTCGGCGCGTTTAATACGCTATTTTGGTCCCCGCACAATCTACATCACAGCTTTCTGTGTGTTGACGCTCTCGTTTCTTGCCTACCCACTGCTCAACTATTTCGCGCGGGCGGCTGGCCATGTCGACGGCCGCGTCATTGCCGTCATGGTTTTCCAGATGTCCAGCGCCTTCGTGGTCTTTCCTACTTTTGGTGCGTTTCTTGGTGCTTCCCATCCTGAATCTGATCTGGCCAGCCTGCACGCAGATGTTCATTGTCGACTCAGCGCCTATGCCAAATAGTCTCGGCGGGGTCAACGGGCTCGCACAGATGGTCGCCTCGACCTGCAGGAGCGTCGCGCCGACCATATCTGCATCGCTGTTTTCTCTTTCCGTCCGACATGGGCTTCTGGGGGGCAATTTGGTGTTCTTTATATTGGCGGGGATGGCGCTCTGTGCGGTCCGCGCAGCGCAGATGTTACCCTCACGACTCAAAACGGGGTAACAGTGTCCATTGATACTGAATTATGTATGACTGTAGAGGCTACATACTTCTTGTGATAGTGATTCTGAAGGGAAGTTTGGAACAATCAAGAAGCAATGTATCTCGACATAATCTAATGCATGAGTTCTCGTGTATCCACCGACGCGGGAAGCATGTCCCTTGCATGCTGCTCCAATTGAAGCTTGAACCGCTGCCGCTTCGAGCCATCCTTCAGCTTGAACGGTGTATGGAAGCCAATATTGTTTTTGTCCGGCGAAAGCAGTCGAATAATGGATACAACACCGTGCGGGAGTTGTGCCGCGTAGTCCACTCCCGCGAGCGCATCTGCGCAGTTTGCCGTCAACAGCACGATGTGGCCATGCAAGGTCGAGGGTAAAGCGCCCAGGACACATGCCTCTTGTTTATTTCCTTTTTTCCAATGCCGGGCGAAATGGTGAGGGAGCGTGAGCTCGATGCTGACGGTTCTGTGCCGGTTTTCTGCGTGCGTGCCGAGAGCGGAAAATGCGTGTAGCACATCGAGAGTGTTGTTCGGGTCGAGGGGGAACCCAAATTTCCACAGTACCGACCATGGGTTGTTGCAGAGGGTGCTGATAACCCAGGGGACATCGCCGGGGTCATCGCAGGCGACTGTCGTCAATGAAGGCAGCTCGACAGCAGCCAGGCTTTCGCAGACGGGAGGCGTTAGAGCGCCAGCAGTGAAATGGAGTTGGGTGATACGATGTCGCGCATTGAGAAAGTCGCCGAGGGCACCGTCGGCCAGATCCGTTAGGCCTGTGCCGAGAGTCAGCATTCTCGGCGTATGCAAGCTGAAGAGGGGCAGGAGTGGGCTCAGACGTTGTGCCGTGAGCCAGCCAGTGGTGCGGAGTCCCAGTGACTGCTCGGCGAAACTAACTAGTGCCACGTGTGTTCCTGTGCCAACCGCTACATCCGTAATATGTAGTGCGCCAACGGCTGTTGTAAGGTCTATCTTCATCCTGTCGGGGCCTACTTTGGCGGCGAAATATGGTGATCGGGGAGGCACGGACGCAGCCGACGTGGCATGAGTCGCAAAAGGCTTGAAGGGTAGTCTGGGTGGATTGCCTTCCAACTCCGAATCTCCTTCGCTGTTTTGAAGACATAGAGCGACCCTCCGCCGGATACAACGACGGGCGTTGTCACCGCACGCTTTGAAGTCGTTGTGATGATGATTCGTTTTAAGATATGCAGCATTGCAGGTGATTGACAGCTGGGGTAGACGGAGGGGAGACGGAGGCTTGTGAAGCGCGGGAAACGCTGCATGACGGTGTCGAGACGGCGGAGTGTTGGAAGCGTGGTGACAAACGGCAGCTTGCATACCAGCTCGTGAGATTCGAAGCGCTGAACCAGTTCGCGACACGCAAGGTGTAGTCCACGCAAGACGTGGTGATCTGCGGCGACTTTTTCAGCGGCTGGCTCGACGCCGGTACGACGGAAAAAGAACGCAAGGCAAATGATGTTAAACTTTGTGGAGGCACACGCAGCGACAAGTAGCGCGTCATCGTCCAGGCTGTCAACGACGAGCTCCCATACTTCTGGCGGCAAGTGGGAGGACATGAGGAAAGGTTGGCCAAGGCTGTGCCTGCCTAAAACGGCAATCGGATGATCGTATCTGTCAATCGTGGCTCTTTTCCCATGACCACCACCACTGCTGAGCAAGCATCCGAAACTTGGTGCCCGGCTCATAGAGTACCGGAATCGCGCCATCGCACATACTCTCTCGCCAGCCATGCCCACCGTACGCAACGCCCGTCTGCTCTTCAACTCCGTCCCGAATGGCACGTCCCTCTATTCTCTCTCCGTCGTTGGGCTGATGAATTGGAAGACTACCCCATTCCGGGAGAGACCACTGTCTATGACGAGACGGAGCAAATCGATCTCGACACGATCCCGCTGAATGGCGGCCTCTTGGCCAAGGTATTGGTCCTGTCCGTCGACCCCTACCTTCGCGGCAGGATGCGCTCGCCAGAGAAAAAGTCGTACAATGTAAGCCGTTGGCGTTCTCAGCTTGCACCCAGCACTCCAATCGATATAGCTTCCATTCACGCTCGGAGAGCCGTGGGTGCTTTGCTAGTTTGCGGCTGACTGGCGGCTGATGACCCTCTAGAATTGTTGGATATGGGATCGCGGTGGTATTGCGCTCGGAAACTGAAGAGGTCAAACCCGGGCAGTACGTCCAGGGCCCCATTGTCCGTGAGTCACAACAATCCTTTCGCTTTTTCCACCACTAACGTTGGGTAAAAGCTTTCCAAGAATACGCCGTCTTCCCATCGCTCACTTCACTGGTCATCGTGGACAAGCACCCCCAGCTCCCCCTTTCGGTTTACATCGGCGCGGCAGGCATGCCCGGACAAACCGCATATGCCGGTTGGAAAGAGCATTCTGAAGTGAAGCCGGTGCGGGTAGTGTTTTAAGTGAAATTCCTCGTCTCAGTCCTTATTTTAGGGTGAAGTCGTCTTCGTTTCCACAGGTGCTGGACCCGTTGGGTCGTGCGTCCTTATCCCTTATGTTAACTTCTTTCACTGACCTTCGCCTTTTGCAGCTTTGTCATTCAACTTGCGAAAGCTGCCGGCGCAAAGGTCATTGCGTCCGCTGGCTCGGAAGAGAAGGTCGCATTCATCAAGTCCCTTGGGGCAGACTTCGCGTTCAACTACAAGACAACAGACACGAAGGAGGTCCTGGCAAAAGAGGGCCCGATTGACATATACTGGGACAATGTCGGCGGGGAGATTCTGGACGCGGCGATTGACGCGGCCGCTGTGAATGCCCGTTTTATCGTGCGTGTTTTGGTGCGTCTGTAGTTTGGTCTGACTCGCATCTTGCAGCTCTGTGGCTCGATTGCGGGGTATAACACCGGCCAGACCCCCATCAAGGCGCGTTCTCTCTCTCTCTCTCTCTTGCCCGATTTTCATGTCCTCTTCCAAACAGAACCTCGCGCAGGTCGTTGCGAAGACGCTGCATATCCACGGTATCCTCGTGTTCCGCCTATTCCACAAGTATGCGAAGGACTTCTACGCGGAGGTGCCCGCGAAGCTCGTCAGCGGGGAGATTAAGTACACAGAGGAGATAACGAAGGGGCTGGACAAGGCGGGGCACGTCATACTCGCGGTTCAGAAGGGGGAAAACAAGGCGAAGGCAGTGGTGCTTGTCGCTGAGGAGTGAAATACACAAGAGAATCGTTTTTGTTCTCCGCTTATTGAGTATCATCGATATATCATCCTGTTCGTACAGTCAGTACTAGTCCTTCTGGATCCGATTGTGATCGGTTATGCAAAAATTGCCATTCATCGCAACAATGGTCTATTGAAAGCCGGTGTTGGTCAAGTGTTCAGTCACTGTTGACTCGGGTATTGCCTGGTATGTGTAATATGTGCATGTATATGCCCGATGTCGAACGGCGACAGTAGCACCACGAGTTTTCTGCCAATTGCGCCATCATTTTGCGGCGGTTTGCTGTCCATCTTTTGAGTACGCTGTCCAAAGTTAAATGTTATCGATAGGTCTGACGATGGGCAAACACAATCAAGCGCCAATCTCAATCCGATACCGATATCGCGGCGAAACCCTTCAAAACACGGAGGTTGATAAGCCACCGTTCCCTGGGCAGTGTTGACTTGGTGTTGACTATCGCCATCCAACCTCCCGACATGGGCGGAAATGCCCGTGTTAGACCTATGCTCGTTGGGGCAATTGCCTGGATGAAGGCTCTTTCAAAGTTACTGGGTATGATAAGAGGGTTGAGCAACCACACTGGCCGTGTTGCGTAACTGCGTCTACTTTGGCCTCGCAACGACGCCAATAGTTGTGCCTGGAGCGTGTTTGGAGCCACGTTGGAGCCATCAACTTTTCTTGGGAATCCCGTGGTCCGTGCATCATGGCAATCATAATGTTTCGTAACATGTATGCCCCATTCGGCGCATGCCATATGCCAAACGCCGAGTATAAAAAAACGGCGACAGGCTTGCTCCGCAGCCACTCTCCTCCCTCCACACCATGACCGTCCACATCCCCGACGACTTCGACACGGTCTCCGACGCTGTCGACCAAGGTACCCGAGCCGCGCCGTCGCGCTTTCGGGCCCGCTGACGCGTTTCTTCGCCCAGTGAACATCCTGAAGGGGAAGCTGTGGGACGAAACGGCCGCGTTTGACGAGGAGAAGGACAAGAGCAAGTTCCGGCAGTACGACGACGCCTGCGATCGCGTCAAACGCTTTTACAAGGAGCAACACGGTTCGGATCTCGCTGCCCCCTCCCTGTCAGTCGTCTTGCCATTACTGAAGTAGACGCTAGAGAAGCAGACGATGGAGTTCAACATCCGAATGCGTGTCAACATGCGCCAGAAGGTGCGGGCACGGATGGGTGCGTGGCCTTCGAGTTACGGTTATTATATTCAAGTTGACCTCGTTCCAGGCATATGGGAGGCTATGGAGATGCTAAACACACTCGTGGACGACTCGGATCCTGACGTGGGTTGCCATTGGATCCCCCCTCCCGACTCTATTGACCTCGGGACCAGACTGAGCTCTCACAAATTGAGCATCTGCTCCAGACAGCCGAGGCCATCCGCCGCGACGGGAAGCCTGAATGGATGCAGGTGACCGGGCTCGTCCACGACCTCGGAAAGCTGCTGTATCTGTTCGGCTCGGAGTACGTGTCTTATCCCCATCTCTCTGGGCAGTGCACTGATCGCGAAACACAGAGGCCAATGGGATGTCGTCGGTGTCAGTAAAGCCTCCTGCTCCTTCTCAGCCTGTTTCTGAACCAAACCTCAGGATACCTTCGTCGTCGGTTGCGCCTTCTCAGACAAGATTGTCCTTCACGAATCGTTTGTCAACAATCCCGACTCGCGGGACGAGGTATATTCGAGTGAATACGGCGTCTACAAGCCGCATTGTGGTCTGGATAATGTCATGCTGTCCTGGGGCCATGACGAGGTGCGCGATATTGTTAAATCCCCTCCACGGAAAGTGACATTTTCATAGTATTTGTACCACATCCTCAAGGAGCAGTCGTCGCTCCCGGAGGAAGGCCTTTGGATGATCCGCTACCACAGCTTCTACCCGTGCGTCGTGCGTCTGTCTTTTGAATGACTCACACGCAGATTCTTCACAGTTGGCACCGGGAAGGGGCGTATTCCCATCTGACGAACGCCAACGACGACCGCGCGCTTGCCGCTGTCCGGGCCTTCAACCCATACGACCTCTACAGCAAAAGCGACGGTGCTCCTTCCGCAGAGGCGCTCAAACCGTATTACCAGGGGCTGATTGAAAAGTACTTTAATAAAGTTATAGAGTGGTGAGGCAAGAGACAGTTTGTCTGCGCTAGCGCTGGGCGCTATACTTAGATAATATCCTAGCACTCTTGCTGTAATTCGTAATATTGTCATATTGAGCTGCCGCTAGCGATGCTCAGGCGGATTTGATTCTCCGATCTAAAGTACGGACGTCGGATCCCATTATAACAACTTGATGAAAAATAATGCCAGAGCTATAGGGCGATACCGAATGCCGAGGTTTAGGGGCACATCACCATTGTTTGCCCACTGGCAACATACGTGGTGTTGCAGCTATTTAACACAGCGCATCCCATCGAGTGCAAGTATTTTGATTTCGATGTACGGTTGCCGACCAACTTGAAGGGCCTCAACCGGCAGCACTGATTCTGTGAGACTGAGTCGATGGAATAATCCAACACGGCAGTTTTCGAATGCACAACCACAGTTCGGCCGAAGTTCTGCAATAGCAAGTAATGCGCAAGACAAGTCTGATATCATGATCGGTCGGGAATCGGGATTTTCCCGAAGAAGTTCTGCTGTTGGCTCTGTGAGTCTGAGTCATGCCGATCGATGGACAGTGGCATAATACTCCCGTCTGCCCCGAAGCGCGACTGCCAGTGCACTAAGGGCCTCCGAGTCCATTAGCCGCCTGCAACGTGCAACAAGACCCCAGTTTACATTTATTCAAGTGTACAGGCTGCTCCAATGGGCAGCGCCGTAGTTTCAGCAAATAATGGCAACCTGGCGGCAGTGGGTAGCATAAAGAGGGAGCGGCTCGCTGCTTTGACCCTCATCCTTCCAGAATCAAGTGAAATGTCTAGCCAGCAAGCACCTCCTGCTTCTGATGCACGAACCTACATGGCGTGCTTAGAATGTCGAAAGCAGCACATCAGGGTGAGCTTCGGATACTCGTTACGATTCCTGAAGTTGACTGTAGTCTAACCATTTCAGTGCAAACCAACCTCGAGAGCGGATCATGTCTGCGCGCGCTGCGAGCGCAAAGGACTGCGTTGCGAATATGTTCCAGTAGAGCCGGACACCGCAGTCAAGAGAAGAGGCCCCCAGTCTAAGGGTCGCGCGCACCCATACAATAGTTCGTCGGCAGGCATGTCAGAGGAAGTCCATCTCGTCAATCCATATCCTCGCCAACAGGAGTCTGTAACTGGGGTTGCACCGGTACCACCAGTGGGCTCAGCAGGATATCATCGGTGGGGCGAAGTTCCGGGTTCAGGTTACGCATGGCCAGGAGGGCAGAGCCAAGGACAAATGCAAGAAGGACAAAATCCCAGTCCACAGGCTTGCCAGTGGGGAGCGTTTTCGGCACGAGAGGATCAAGTTGTGTGGAATGCTCAAGCAGGAGCTGACTATTCAATGCCGACTGCATAGTGAGTCCCAGATTGGCAATACGACGGCTAAATCAGGCTGAATCACGGCCAGTTCGTCGAATGCGGCTGAATACCAGCCCCAAGGAGGTCATTGGCAGCAATCGTGAGTGAATACTGAGAAATAGGGAAAACCTGATTAATTGTCAGGATTCAATGGGACGATACTGTGGTAGACGCAAACTATCCGAATGTGTGGCCGCCTCCGGCTTGGGCAGGGTCTTCAAGTTCGGGTCGCCATCGCGAATGACCGAGTACTCCGAATCAGCCAACCGCCCGGTGGTCAGTCATCTACTGTGTAGAATGAAAGCCGCAGAGCCTTCCTTGTAGGATAGGACCGGGTAGTAGAGAATTAGCATGTGCACATGTTGGTCAAGACGAAAGAAGTGGCCGGTGTGACCGTCGGGCATCAAATCGTAAGCGACACACGTGTGTGATATGAGTCAGCTTTCTTGTCTCACACCACATGGCGGTTTTTCCTGACGACCACCTCGATGCTGCTGGTCATGCTCGGACAGCTATTCCCTGCTTCATTGCTGCTTTTATCCTCCGCCAAAACCAATAGTGTCACCACTCCCTCGACGATATCCAAGTCATGGGGCGCGTACACACCCTACTTCGCCGTTGGAGCGTATGAGCCCCCACCAAAGCAGTGTGTTATTGAACAGGTGCGTCGTCCGCATGAGGTGTCCTACTTCGGCTCATGCTCTTAGGCTCATATTGTATGTGCTGCTTAGCTACCAGAGCTCCCTCTAACTCGACAAAGCTGGAACGCCATGGAGCCCGTTTCCCCACCTCGGGATCTGGCGCATCTATCAAGGAAGCAATCGAAAAACTGCAGAAGCCCGCGACCTACAATGATCCGCGCATGAAGTTCTTGAAGAACTTCACTTATTCGTTGGGAGTGGCCGATTTGGTACCGTTTGGCGCATTGCAGTGCGTCCTCTACTATTCATTTGATCACCCCACCGTAATGGTCATAGGTCTCGACTATCGGGGGCGCTCGTCTACCATCGCTACCGAGAACTTCTCAGCGCTGACAACATACCCTTTATACGAGCCTCGAGTGGACAGCGAGTGGTGGACAGTGCGACGAATTGGACCGCTGGTGAGGCGTCTGTCGGGCTTCCCTGTCCTCATGAAGAGTCTTATGAAGCACGCAGGGTTCTCTGCGGCGAGCCAAGACATCTATAAACCAACTCTCAATGTTGTTCTGTCTGAAGCCGTTCGTTTACTATCCCTCTGCTTCGATGAGTAGAGCTGAAGGCTCGTATCAAGGGGAACGACACCTTGGACGACAATGGCTGCCCTAATGCCGGATCTTCGGACACCCAAACAGCAGCGTGGCTATCGATATTCGCTCCAAGCATCACTAAACGACTTAACGCTGGCGCGCCGGGAGCGAATCTCGTCGATTCGGATACGTATGCGCTCATCGCGATGTGTGCATTCCACACCGTCGCGACAGCTCAAGGCAGCAATCTGACACTATCTCCCTTCTGCGATTTATTCGACAAAGGAGATTTCATGGACTTCGAATATGCAATGGACTTGGACAAATATTATGGCACCGGGTGCGTCGTTACTTTCTGTTGAGTATTTGCAATTGACACCCTGTTAGCTATGGTGCGTTCCTTGGCCGCGTCCAGGGGGTAGGATACATCAACGAACTCATATCTCGCCTCACCTCTACGCCGGTCAACGACTCTACACAAACGAATACGACGCTGACCTCTAACCCGGAGACTTTCCCGCTCAATCGGACCATCTATGCCGACTTCTCACACGATAACCAGATCATTGCGATTTTCACTGCAATGGGACTGTTCCGCCAGCAAAAAGCCCTAGACCCCACGAGCAGGACCGCAGAGAGCGGACGGACGTGGCTCGCGAGTCATCTGGTACCGTTTAGCGCAAGAATGACAGTTGAGAGGCTATTGTGTGGGCCAAAGGAGCACAAGACGAAGAGCGTGAGGATATTCGTCAACGACGAATTACAGCCCCTGGAGTTTTGTGCGGGAAGCAATGCTGATAAACAGATGACAAGGGCGGGCATATGCAAGTTGGAGAGGTTTTTGGAGAGTCAGAGTTACGCGAGGAATGGAGGTGAGGGCGAGTGGGATGAGTGTTTTACTTGAAGTCAGTAGCGTGGACTCTACTAGTAGGAGAAGCTACAGCTCGTTGTCAACATACATACATCCCTGCAGATCAGAAGTAGCCGATGCCATCGGTAACCGGTTATATTTGTCAGCCTCTCAATCTTGCCTCTTCCCCTCATCATGTCTGACGAGCGCCAAGAAAGCTGTCTTCCTCCTGAACTCGAACGGCGGATCTTTGAGATAGCCGCGGCGGTGTACCCTGAGATGCGGTATCCGCTCCTCTTTGTCGCGCGCCGCGTGTCGTTTTGGTGCGTGAAGCCTGTGTTCACTGTTCATCGTGTTTCTCCTAAACCAACTATTTGCTAGGATGGAGTCTGTGATATACCACACCCTTGAGTTCACTGACACCACGCCCTCTCCTTCTCTTGCCCTCAAGTCCCCATCGTTCTTTGCAAGGACAACCCGCTGTCTCGTATTGTGCCGCAACGACACCGCAGCAAAGATACCGGACTATACCAAGATACTCCAGCTCTGTAACGGGGCGGTTGGGCTGGCGCTTGGAGATGTCCCATCCGAGTCATCGTTCTACAACACATTCTTTGCACTGAAGAAAATTCGGTTTCTCGCATGCTACAGCAACGCGCTGCGCTGCCCGGGCTCCCTCGACACAGCCACGATGAAGCGGCTCATCGCCGCCAAGCCCATATTCCATGCGCTAACACATTTGGAGATTTTCGACTCCGGCATACCTCTGCACATCGCCGAGTTCTGCAGCTTGATGCCACAATTGACGCATCTGGCACTCGTCGACTGCCGTCATTCAACCGGCGCCCGTCATCGTCGGTCGTGGACGGTACGCATGGGACTCCTCGCACGGTGCCCGGCGACTGCGCGTGCTAGTTATACTAGCCATCGAAGAGGCAGAAGACAACAGCGGGGCGGGGGAACCGCAGATGACGGCCCATATTCCTCGCGATTTGACGGACGACAGGCTCGTGATACTGCGCTACCGCTACTGGGCTGAAGGCGTATTCCTGTGTTGGAACTTCTGGGACGCGGCAGATGAATTCGTGGAGAGGAAAAGAAGGTGTGAGGTCGACGGTAAGTGCTTTCAGCTCCTCTCGCTTTGTTTTCGAGCTGAACAAGAGTTCCCAGAGCATTCGTTCTTCACTGAAAGACCCACAGACCAGTGGGAAAAACGAGACACGGTTTTGGATTGAAGATTTCACAACCCAATATTTCCGCGTCAACGATGAATGAACTGGATCTCTGTCGCCCCAAATGTGCTAGGATTTTGGGGAACACCACCACTCGGCACTCGCCATCACGTTCCATCAAATTCGTGAATCGCCGTCACAGTGCCGACCCATTGTGGTGATATACTTATTTCACGCAAAGTCACAGTCTGGGTCACAAACTCTCCCACTTTCCTTCCACCTCCTCATCGAACCAAGTGTCCCTCTATTGCTATGGCACGCGATGCCCAACCCACAGCGAAATCTCGAGCCAAAAGGACAAATGTATGTGACTGGCGCGCGATCGTTTCATGCCACCTACTGACGGGAGCACAATAGCCCAGAGGCCATGATTCAGCCATCTGTATTAAGTCTGGACAAGCCGATCGGCCATATAAATGCATCCTCTGTCCCAAATGCAGTAAGAGGGCGATGGACATCGAACGCCACTACAATACGAAACATCGGACAATGGCGGAACAGCGAGATTTGTGAGTTTCCTCTGTCCTTGCCACCCAGATGGACAGTACTGATTTATATTCGGTAGAGGTCTTCTCTTCAACTGCCCCTACTATCCCGAATGCGACCACTCCATTTCTATCCACCAAAAGTCGAACATGCGCAGTCATCTAAGAAGCAAGCAGTGCGTCGTTGTATCTATTCTATCTAGTTTCCCGTAAGCTCACGCTCGAGCGCAGTGGCGAAGGCAAACTGTCTTGTCCAGAGGACTCCTGTGACTACGAGACCGTCGATAACGCCAATCTCACACGACACCGACAGAACAAGCACGGGTACGAGCCTATCCGCAGAGCTGAGCGGGACGATGGTGGAGACCGACCAGCGAAGCGCGTTAAAACGAGCCATAAGATTGCCCAGGGAAGCATCTCTCCCCCCGAATCAACTGGACTCGACAACTTGCCCTTGCCACCCACCCTAGCTGCACCAGCCGTTCACTTTGCGCCACTGCCAGTGTACCCCAACTCTGAATCCGAATATCATTATGCCACCACTGCCACACCGTTCGGTGGCGCCGACATTCCTCGCGCCGCTATGCACAGGAACACGCGCCCGCCGCTTCCGTTCCGACAGTCCGACTCGAACATGGTTACTACCAGTGGCGCAATCGCGACAAACGCGCCATTGGTACAACAGATTCATCATTTTGGAACCCCAGGACCCGCATTCCACTCAAATGTTCCCGATGCACCACAATTCATTGACACCTGGCCGATGACCTATACAGGACATGCTTCTTCTTACCCCTTCGAGCCTGAAAACGTTTCACAACCTGCGGCACCTCCTGTTTACGAGGATGGAGCTTGGACTGGTGCAGGCACGGTCGTTATTCCCCAACCGCAAAAATGGATCGACCCCCAGTCCCAGTGGCAACTTTTCGCTCCTCAGGGACCCCACGACGGTTTCGGTCCACCCTGTACGGTCGCCCCTGAGGACTTCTTCAGGAACGCGTACCTTACCAGTCCCTTCGTCGAGCTCCCTGCGACGGCCATGGGTAGCGGACTCCCGAGCTCTTCAAGACAGTCGGCGCTACTAGTAGCCAGGGCGACACCCGTCCCGGGCCACGATGCTCGTGCCACGCCTTCTCCTCACCTTGCTCAGTTGAGCGGGAATGCCACGGAGTCCGACGAGTCTTTAGTTGCCTTCCTGGCTACGATATCTGACACCAGGCCCGCGGGCAGTCATTGGCAGCAACCGGAAGTCCCTCAGGAAAGCGAGTTCCCTGAATATCATGACCTGGCTGCCACCGCAGAGACACTACCGTCTGCTACCCATACCGGCCTGCACCACTTGGACGATGCGCATTATTTGTGGAGAGCCGGTCCAGGCGGCGATTATGGTGTTGGTGATATCACGAGCGGTGACCAAATACCGGCTGTTCGCCTCCAGGGAGGGGTGTATTGAAAATTCTCGTTCTCGTTCTTTTGCTTTGCTTTTTGTCTGCTTTCCTACTTTTACTATGTAAGTACCATCATACCACTAGTATACTCTATGCCTTGCTGTATAATAAGTAGCTCCTGAAGTCGAATTAAAACCATTGTGGCTCCGAGTCTCGATCCGCGTTATTGAGGCCAAGACTCTCCTGTATCAGACACTGTTTCTACTAGTGGTAGATAGCCGATTGACAAAAAATAGACCGGCATTCAAGTTCATCGTCAAGCCGTTGACGGATTGCTGTGACGACTTTAATTCAAGTTCAGCGATATTCCCAAGATATTCGGAGTCTGCCAGTGGATACAAATACGCTACTTACACCAAGTTTCTATCTATTCTTCCGCAACGATGATGACCGCTTTTGCCTTGTTTGTTCCCTTCTGCACAGCGAGCAGGACGTCCCCGACCTTGTCCAACCCGTAGCTCTTTTCCTCAGTATACTTGATCTCGCCACTCGCGAGCTTTGCGGGGACTTCGTCGTAGAAGCGCTCGGCATAGATCGGGGCGAGACGCGCGACAGCGACACCGTACAGAGATAGTGAGCGGGCGTACGCCATGTTGAGGTTCTTGACGGGGACGTAGCCTGTGTTGTACCCTGACATCGCGCCGCACAACTGAGGAATAACGGTAAGCACAGCAAACAGTGCATAGTAGGCTGTAGCACGAACCAAAATGCGTGCATAGATGGCCGTGTTTTCGAGGGTAACGTCAAGAATATCGCCACCCACGTTGTCCCAATAACTATCCAGCAAGGGTTCGTCAGCTGTGAATCCATACAATCCGTCACTCACATATCAACGGGACCCTCTTTTTCAAGCACCGCCCGCGTGTCCGTCGTCTTGTAATTGAACACCACGTCCGCTCCGATAGATTTCATGAACGCGAGTTTCTCCTCCGTGCCCGCAGACGCGATCACCTTGAGGCCCGCTTGCTTTGCGAGCTGGATGACAAAACTTGCGAACGATGAGTATCCATAAGTCCGAATGAAATGAGAGCCAACGCACGATCCCACCGGTCCCGCTCCCGTAGTTACGAACAGCACCTCCCCGGCTTTGGCGCCCGCGTGCTCTTTCCAGCCGCCATATGCCGTTTGTCCCGGCATTCCAGCGGCTCCGACGTAGACGCTCCATTGGAGGTCTGGGTGCTTTTCGATAATGCGAAGTTGCGCACTAGGAGGGAAGATAGTGTACTCTTGGAAAGCTGGGAACCCTACTCGTTAGTTCATGGTCGGAGAAGAAATGTCCTGTAACGCACGAATGAACCCATAGACATGCTTCCCCTCCGGTAAATCAGGCACTTCTGAGCGCACAATGACGCCGACACCAAACCCGTCGATCCTGAGCAAGAGTGCGTATTAGCGTTCGTAGCAAGGGCAAAAGTAGGAGGCGAAACATACGGCTCTCCGAGCTTGTACCCCTGCGAGTTGCCGCGACGCGATGGATCTTTCGCCTGCGGGTCGCGCATGCGGTTGCGCAGGAAGGGGTCTATGGAAAGAACGAGAGTCTTCACGAGGAAGCCGCCGTTCAGCGCCACAGTGGCGGTATCGATCTGGGCTGATTCATCGTAGACGGTCGTTTCGCCCGGAATTGGGTACTCTGCGGGCTGTGAGCGATTCAACAGAAGCGTAGAGTTAGCCAACTTGCCTTCAGGGTACGCGTTGAAGATGACGCGTCCGTTGCGAACGGGTGCCATGGTGGTAAGGGGCAAGGAAGTCTGGCAGTGGATGTATACCAGCTAGTGGCGTTACTAGATGACGCCTTTATCACGCGTTCCCGAAAGAAGCTTCCGCCAATTCTGGCCATGGCTGCGTCAGCTTCGGGCTGCTCGTCATCGGGGCGGGATGCCAGATGACGGGAAGAAAAGAGATGACGAATAGCCGACGATCGATTAAGTGTCAGATTGCTGACACTAGTAACTACGGGAGTTCGGGAATCACACCAATAGGCCCTGAAGTAGGATTTATTTATGATAAATAGTGGACAAAAAAATGTACATTTTCACAACTTGGAACAATAACTAACAAAACTCTAGAAAGTAGACTTGATTTGGGGCATATATTAAGTCATCAGATTGGACTGAACTCAGAGCCAATATTAACTGACAATTTTGTGGGCCTCTGCGTTTCAACCTTTATTGCTGTTATAGCCCCTGTCTCGCTGACCATAACTTTGTGGCAATGATTTGCAACCAACAAATGCACCAAATGTGTCACAAGATATGAGACCATATATATCAAAAATCTGGGCCAGCACCAAAGTGTACCCAATATATTGATATCAGAAATAAGTGACAAATTGCCATTATATATGACAAATTGGGGTAATAATAATGTGACACTATTTTTTCAACAAATATCTGGGCTTGAATAATGTGTACTTATTGTTTACAAAACATGGTCAAGAATGGGGTAGTCATAATGTATGCAATATTTGATACTATGACATAGAACTTGATTTCTTGTAAATCAGATACAATTTTTGTAACTTTTATTGCACTGATTTTATTGATCTAACTACTATATACGGATGGGTCACGCGACAAAGTCGCGTCGTCTCTGAGAACGCCTGGGTCGAGGCTACTTTTGACATGAGGATAGGCTCGGGCGCTCGCATTGTTGGCCCATTGTTGGTCGCATCTGATGCAGTAGAAGTAGAATTTCCCCTGCTCGAAGGATTTGATGACGGTTCGGGCAGCAAGGTCATTCACCCGTGCTCCCGCACTGGACTGCTGGCCCTGAGGGATGTTGCCGTTCTTTTGGCATCCTTCATGTTCTTCAGTGCACATTTTCAGCGTTTTGAGAATCTTCGGCCGGACGGCGGTCTGCTTGACAGGCTTTGATGCCTCAGCTGAGTCGTCATCGATCTCCATTGCATCGGAAGCCTGGGAGAAATCCATCTCCACTGGGCCCGGCATCTGCGAAGATTCCGACCTGTTAGCGGACGAATGTGTGAGCATTGACACGACGCACCGTGGGTTTCACATGTCCACCCTCTGGGTCCTCCCTCATCTTGCACTCGTAGGCCTGCAGCTCCTTCCAATACCCTGTCCAAGCTTGAAGCTTGGGGCCCTCAACACGCGTCTTATACGGCCCAAAGACGTCGTCCATCACCTCCTCAGTCTCGACAATGCCCCAGTCATCCGTGAGATAACGATTGGAAGCATCATGTAGCTTCTCGAGCTGTTCTTGCATCAAGCCCATTGTAGTGTGTCAAGAAAATTTTGACAGCCGCCTGTGCCAGCTCATGATCCGGTCTGTCATGCTGTGACCCACCGTCACCCATGTAGTCTTTTAAATTTAGTCATAGAACAGCCTGGGCAGCTAGATTTATCAGGCAATCGATATTTCCTGCTTTCCTGCCCCTTCTGAAATAATTTCCCACAAAAAAAGTAGGATTCATACAATTGATACATGGAGGACCGGCAGTATATATGGTACCGATCACGTATCATACCTGCCATATCGATACAGGATTGATACATCCCCGACACTATCCTCCTTGCCCCCCGTTCCTGGCTGCAGAGGGGACGATACATCCCTTGCAGGCCAGGCACTACTCCTAACCTCCTAGCACTCCTCCCAATTCCTTGGTGTCGAGTTGGGCTCGGCAATGGCTCGACACATCGTTCTCGGTCACGTGATTCCCTGTCATGCTGCGTGTTAAGGGTTACCGACACCAGCGCCAGAGCTGACAGGCCGGGTCTTGTCCGTGACATCACCGCCTCCCTAGGAACGACTTGTCTTGAGTTGGCGTGGCTCGGTCGCCCCGGTTTCTCGGGTTCTTTGACTTTAGCTCGTTCTTCCATTCGCAAATTCCATCCAACCCATAAGCTTAAGCTAAGCTTCGGCTGCGCATTTCAATCTCCCCCAGCTTCTGGTGCCTCGTGGCGTCCAGAGATCGCTTCTTCCTGTCCGTCAAGTGTTTCACCGTGATCACATGCGCAGGTGTATTGGTGTTTCCAATTTAATTTTGCATCCTTTGTTCGTATTGGTTGTGAGTAGGCTGTGCTGCGCGCCTCTGTTGGGTTCGATATAGAATGTGTTCGTTCTTTTCATATAATAGGTACGGTCAAATATGACCGAACAGTAGTCCGAATGTAAAGTCCGAATGAAAAGTGATGGGAATCTGTTCGTGACGTCCGAACAAGTCGTTTGCATACCGACTCATAGAGTCGGTATGCACCCTCCTCGTAGCGTCCGAACACCTCATCCTTGGCTAGCCCCTATCAACCATGGTGCTGCGCATCAAACGACGATCGCTGGCTCCTCTTGTTTGCCTCTCTCATCCCATCTCCCATGGCGCACCGAGCTCAACCGTCAAAAAAGCCCAAGAAGAAGAAGGACAAGACAACTACCAAGCGGCCATCAAAGCGGGCCCGGGCCACCGAGGAGGAGGAGGAAGGTGAGACAGAGGTGCCGATACCAGAGAAGCTGGAAAAGAACCCGTGTGTCGCATTCACCTCCATCTAACACAAGTTCTTATGCTACAACAGGTTTGGGGAAGACCCCGAGAAGACCACCAAGTTGCTAAGCCTCATAACCGACAATGAGGATTGGAGGAACAAGCTCTTCCCGCCCCCTGGCCAGAACGCGTCAACAGAGAAAGGTGGTGGTCTGTCTGCATCATCCGTGCACTGGATGCTGGCCAAGGCACTCTGGGGCGAAGACCACAATGCCTATATCAACTGGCTTTCGGGACATACAAGAAAAGCCAAGGAACGTGCTGCTGTCGGCGATAGAGTCAAAAATCGGCTGAAAAAGTTTGTCCTCCACTCTCGTTGCTCTTCCCTCATGACAAAGCCCAGGCTCTGCGTCCGTACAAGCGAAATACAAAAGGAGATGAAGCAAACGGGTGCGGGGAACCAGATGACCAAGGAGGAACACGACAATCTCCCTCAAGACGATGAGCGACGCTCTGCGTGGGGTGCGTCATTTTTCATTTACTTCTATCTACTAACTACCATCTACAGGTGCCAAATTGGACACTTTTCCATGGTAGTGGACCATGATAGACCTCATTGGGACTCTAGGGTGCTGTGAGTTGAACGTGTTTCGAAACAGTTTCGAAACCGGTTTCGAAACACGTGTGAGTTTTGAAATCGGCCAGGGGTCGACCCGGTTTCGAAACCGACACGTGACTCCGGGGACCGGCCCATGGCTTCCCAGATACCTGCACCACCCCATCGGCAACGGATGCCCTGGCCTCGCCCGGCCAACTGAGGCCGTCACCGAGCCATCGCTGACTTCCGCGGAGTTCCCGTCGCCAAGCTCAGTTGGCCTGGATTCGGACCGACTGGAACCATCGCCGGCTACGAGCGCCGGGTGGTCCGGCCCCGGTAAGCGGCCGGTTTCGAAACTGTTTCGAAACATGGGGTGTTTCGAAACTGTTTCGAAACAGCTGTGAGTAATTCCTCAGGAATTACTCACAGCACCCTATGGGACTCGACCTAACTCGCAACCTGTCGCCATTGGCAACAGCACTTCGACGGATTTCCTGTCAGTCGATGATGGGACTGAGCACTCTGACAGTGCCCCGCCTTTGCACGATTCCGATGACGACGACAATAACAACTCTCGGAACGAGAAGGACTCCGACGATAAGTCATCTGATGACGACGATGACGACGCAGAGATTGTGGAGTTGTCAACGGAGGAACGGAAGCGTAAACGAACTGGGGCACGGCCATCTCCCTTCACACCAGCAAAGGCAGCAAAAGAAGCACAGCCTGTCCCTGCAGGGAAGAAGGGTAAAGCGACGGACTTGGGCACGATGGTAGAGCAGGAAAACGACACCTACAACGAAAACAACTCAAGCTGGCCGATCTCGAAATAACCGCCGATATCGAGCGCAGTAAGGCGAAGGCTATCCATTTGAAGGAGGTGATGGGCCGGCAGATGGAAATGAAGCTAGAGCGGGAGAAGCGGAAGTCGACAAATGAGAAATTTGAGCGGAAAATGAAGTTGTTGGAGGCGGAGAGGAAATTCGGGCCCGATGCAGTGCGGAGTATGTTCTCCGAAGAATATAAGCAGGTCGACATCGACACCTCGGGCTACAGCTCCACGTCCAACTCTCTCCATGGTTCGCCAGGCCCGCCGCGCCTCTCATTTGGCTTTCCCTCCGGATCGGAGGGTGGACCAGAGACCCAAGATATGTTTTCTTCCATGAATGGGTCATTGGGACTGTACAACTCTGGGGGAAATTGGATGTAGTAAACCGACGGGGGCGGTTCTTTCACAATCCGCCCCCGGACGGGAAGTGGCACCCTGTAGCATTCTATTCCAAAAGCTTAAATGATGTCCAGCGCAACTACGAAATCCACGACAAGGAGATGCTCGCGATCATCCGCGCACTCGAGGAGTATAGACACTTCCTCGAGGGCGCTGCGCACCCTGTCGAGATTTGGACTGACCATAAGAATTTGGAGTACTTCAGGAAGACGCAGCACCTCAACCGGAGACAGGCCCGCTGGTCCCTCTACCTCTCCCGGTTCGACTTCACGCTGCACCACAAGCCCGGCCGCGACATGGGCCGACCTGACGCCCTCTCTCGGAGACCCGACCACGGAGTCGATTCCGACAACTCTGACGTCGTCCTTCTGCGGCCCGAACTCTTCCACGTTCGCGCACTCGAAGGTGTTTCCGTTTCCGGCCCTGGTTCTGAACTTCTTCGCGACATCCGTGATGCCCTCTCCGG